TTAAGGGCAGGTTTCATGGGAACTATGAAACAAACTTGTGATCAGTAGAAATTAAATATTAAAAGCTGGTTGAATTATTTACATCCATTTACTATTTTCACCTTTTGTGGTATAAACAGGTTGCCATTTAAGCCTCATTTTAAATTATCTGTGGATAATATCTGTGAAGGAGCTCCCAAGATTTTTTAATGTAGGAGAAGATTATAGCCTGAATGTAAGCAAACCAAGGTAAATGCTGGCTAATTCAGAAGATAACTAAGACAAATTGCCTCTTTTCAGTAGTTTTTTACTTTGAATTGTCTGAATGAATGTTTTTCTTGTTTCCTCATGAGAAGAGCTGTTGGTAGGATAGTTCAGCTTGAGACTGAAGTCCCACCACCATGTTGTCAGGAAGAGATAAAAGAGTGATCATGAACCTGTTACTCTATGTTGCTGTGTGAGAGATGAAGCAGATTGGTAAAGTGGACATATCATAGTTAGCACTGAACTGAAGCGTGCACATATTGTCCCTCTGGGATTTGCACCCAACCTGGCATTTCAGTGCATGAGGAAGAACATGGCTTTTGTGCCACAACAGGGTTAAGTAATACAAAATAGGTTAAAATAACATTAGCTATATCTAAAAACCACTTCAGTCTCATCAAGCCTGCTAAGTAAGATTATCTCAGGTCTTGTCTTCTTCTGGTTTGGCTGTAAGGTCCTAAGTTCCTTGTTTTGTTGTTTAATTTTTTTGTTTGGTTTTTTTTTTTTTCTTTTATATTTATATATATATGTATATATCTGATGCCAGACAAAAGTTCAGCTATGCTACAGGAATTCTCCTTTAAGTGCAAGTTTTCTGCATAGGCTTATAGTGTCATATGCTTTTTGGAAAATTATCAAGAGAAGCTGCAAATCTTACAAGGCTGCAGACTGTTAAAGACTCAAAGGTCTTCGGATCATGCAATAGCTTCTAGGGCACATTGTTCATTACAGACAGTAATCAACACAGGGATTATTGAGGATCTTGATAAATGATTCTGTGATCTGACATTGGGCATAGCTTGAAGAGAAAGATTGAGATCTTTATTCCTGAAAATATTAAACCCCTGACTTTGATGGGATTGCTTGTATGATTTAAATTAAAAACACTTTTTTGGAAGAGAATTAATTTCCAGCCTACTGGAATGTGCATATTTTTAATTATTTTAACCAAATTTTCTTGCATGTTCATCTGTTTCCAACATTCATTGTTTAAGTAATTTAAAAAAATCTAATTGTCAATAAGTTGTTTATCCCAGCACTATATAAAGCAATTTAATTCACTTGGATTTACAAAAAGGCTTTTTACAAAGTTCATTACAAAAGGCTCTTCAGGAAACAAACAGATCGTGAGTTCAGTCGTCCTCTCCCCATGACGCTCCATCTGTCTAGACTATATCTATTCTAGACACATAATAACCTTTGCACGCATCCATGAAGGAACAGACTCTCAAAAATTACTCCCAGAGTTCAGCTGCATATGTTTTCGTATGTTTTTGGGTAGTTTTATATTCTATAAGGTGTCCGTTCTGGCAGTAGTGTGGTGAAAACATATGTAGATGTGTCAGGAAGATTCCCATAACAATTTTGCTTTGCAGAATCCATTTACAAATGTTGGACATAGTGCTACTATTGACATTACTTGTATTTTGTAGCTCTTGGTTAATGGGGGGTGGTCCCTGAGGACAGGGGATCACATGTGTTTTGAGAGCAGTAACATCTGCTAGGTCTTTTCTGTCTCTTGAGAGGTGGTTTCTGCAAACTCCACAAAAATCAGAGCTTGGCTTAAAAAACGTCTTTCCAGAGTGGAAAACTGATTTGTACAGCTTCAGCATTAGTGTTTAGGGAGGAACAGCAAACTGCTGAGACTTCCAGGGCTGAGTTTTGCCATGCTCTGACTGGGAGAGAGTAGAAGTGTTTTCCACTGTTCAGCTATTTGGCTGTCCACACAGATGAAAGCCCTCCTCCTGCCTGACCTGCAGAGGTGGTGGTTGGCATGAGCATGTTCTGGTTAAGACCATAAATTACCTGATACCTCCCAAAGCCTCAGCCCTGCTCTGACTCCAGCACTTTGTCTTGTACTTGTGTGGTTATGAGCCAGTTATAACCTGAGGGCTGTAAAGCAGATGCTGTAATAGCCCTGAGTGTGCCATAGGCTTCACCACAGACAACCAGCATTCAGGCCACTGTCTCACAGGGCTATGACTCAAAGATAAAAATATAGGGGATATGCTCATTGTGCTGTATATGAAATTGAGGTGCTTGGGATTTCATTTTAATCTTTCTGTTGGAGAACTGAAGTTTTGCTCTTCCTGTTTATACCAGCAGTATGATTTACTTACGATTCTAGCTGTTCCCAAAATAAGGGAAATAACTCTGTGAAGAGTTCAGCAGTAAATTAATTGCTTCCCCACCTCTAGAAGTCTGCAGGTGCCTGTCTCAGGCCATCATTCCTGAACGTTGTTATTAGTTCTGCCTGTGATAACTCTGCTATAAAATACTATTTTGCAGAGACACTAGTGGGTCCTATAGGGTTTTTATGCTGCAGAAAACTGCTGTACTGCATAAGGGAAAGCCTTGATTTAGGATATGTGCCCCTGGGGGGTAGAGCGAAGTGAGGCAGCCTAAAGGCCAAACCTTGGAGAATCATTGCTGCTTGGGACAGAAAGCCAAAGGGCCCACTTTTCTGCTGAGAGTCAGGCTTTAATTCTGTCATTTGCATCTTTGCTGGTGGTTCAGTTTTCCTTTCCGTACGCCTGATGTTGGTGTACATCTGCGTGCACCAATCTGCATTGTTACAACTCCACCTTGCCTGGCTCACAGTTTCATAATGCAGAGCTGCAGGGCAGGAAGTGCTGTTCAGCTCTGTCACTGCAGGCAGATGGTAACGAGGACAAGGCGCTGATATGCACTGTGGTACTTGCCTGCCTCCACATCTGTTGTGAAGCTTCACGCATCTTCACAAAGTGCTGTAGGAGCTGTGGACAAAAGCCGGTCACTGTTGGAGGGACCATCACTGACCCACAAGTGGCATTGCCAAACTATAGCTGCAGAGGCAGAAAGCATAAATCCTTGGGTAGTGCAGACAAGCCTTCTCCTAAGCTGAAGTAATTCTTAATTCTAAATTCAGATATTTGGAAGGTCCCATGGTGCTCTCTAAGCCCCGTACGGCACTCTCCAAAATCTGGAAGCTCCGTCTTCTCTTGCTTTGAAGCCAAGAACACTTAGAGCTAATTCTCTCTTCTTTGCCCTTGCCATTGACCTCATTTATGGAGATGAAAGAAGTAAAAACAATTAGCTCACCGGGAAATTCTATTATGTAGAAGGGAGGTGGACGTTTGATCAATGCTCATGGGTTATGGTCTCAGCTGGAAGGGCAGATTTTTGTCTCCCAGATGGAGCGATGCCCATTAATCCCAGAGGCTTTGCAAGCGGGAAAGATAGTGATCCAATCTTTCACTTCTGTAAAACTAAAAGATGCCATTTTAATCTTCTCAAGTAGTGAACTGGAATATACATTGGACATAACTCATCCTGTTGTTTAGGATGAGTAAAGGTGCTCATTAGTGAAATGAAAAACTTTGTTTAACTATGCCTAGCCATGTAAAAGGAACCCATCCCAGCCTCTTGCTCCACCAGATCAGAAGTGATTTCTCTTTAACTGTTTCACAGTATCATCTTACTCCATTCAAAACATAACAAGTTGTCTGGGAGTCCCCTGTGCTCCTTCACCTCGCTGGCACGAGTGGGGCTCCTGAACACAACACATCCATGCTATGGGCTGCAGCACATACTGGTCACAAACGCATAGTGTGTCCCACTGAGGGCAGCCTGTGCGACTGGAGCTTCAGCTGTGACTCCAAAGCAGCATCTCTGGTAAATTGGAGCAGGTGAAATAGATCTGGTTGCTCTTGAATGTTAATGTCCTCATTGAAGCAAATGAGCACATATTAGCAGCTTCTGTTGCATGATTTGAATCAGTGTTTTTTCCTAACCACTACAGAAAAAGTATTAGTTAATCACGTTTCAGGCTTGTTATTGTGAACAAGCAGATATGCCAGTATTTTAGGGTTCAAGGTTTAATTTCTAGTGAGAGAAGTATTTATTAGCTTTATAAAAGTATGGCTTTTTTTCTGTAAACTTTAAAGCATAAACTAGCACTGTTTATGGTAGGGTATTCTTGCACCTCAGCTAATGTCCCCTAATATTCACTTACTATTTTCATGGCATTAGTTGCCTTTTGGAATGGATAATTTACCACACGGAGTAAAGCAAAAAGTCTGCTGAGCCTCCTCTTTTACTTCCAGCTATAACTAATGTAAGAGTTAATGTATGTTGTGTATTTACCTCCAATTTAAGAGTCTTGTCAGTTTTTACTCATGTTAGTGTAAGAAGCCTCTAAGCTATTCTGATAGCAGGGAGATCATAAATTACCTCCTTTTGCCAAGGTGGGAAACAGAGCAATGTCATGACAATGTGCCTTAGTGTTCCTGGCACTGGATTTAGAGCATCATAGCTGTGAGACACAAAGCACTAATTCCATATATTTTTAGCCTAACAGTTAAAATGTGTGGGGGTTTTGTTGGTGGTGGTGGTGGTTGGGTTTTTTAAAGTACAGTGATTTAGCTTCATTTGGGCAGGGTTTTTTTCAGATTCATGCACATTTTTTGTTTTCCAGTATACAACCAGCCCTTCCACCAGTCTAGTTACTAGTCCCTTTTTGCCATCATGTACTTGTTTTTCACCAGGAGCTCAGCTGGTGCACCAGACCACACCTCATGCAGGTAAGCACTGTGTGTCTCCGGTAGCCCTTTGGCTCCCCATCCTGCTTTTTTTTTGCTAGCTAGACCCCAGAAGATCTGCTAGGGTTCTGTGGCCGAACAGATGAGAGACAGGTGTTTCTGATTAAGGCGAGTGGGTAACTGATCTGCTGCACCTTTTTCAGCATCAAAGCTCTTCACTGTTGGCTGGTTGAAGGTTGTGCATGGCCATGAAAACTGCTGTGCTTAGAGGATGCTGTTGAATCCAGGTAAGAAGGCTTCTTTGTACTACTGATTCCCTCGTGCTGCTGGAAGTCTCCTTCGGAGCTGCTGGCTAATGTAAGAAAAGTGTTTTCTGCTGAATTTTGCTTCAGTCCTGGTACTTGCTACATGCACCGCCATGGGGTGGTTGGGCTGATTTTGTTGATGGTGCTGCTTGCTGAACAGTGTGTTCTAGTGTGAAGTCCAGCTGGCTGGGTGTCCCTGGGGGGTGCCAGGGGATGGAGCACCAGGTACTGTGTGCTGTGCCCTGTGAGCACTCCTGGCGGTGCTCTGGACAAGGCTTGCAGCTTCTGTTCACTTTTCTTCAGCCTTCCTCCCTGAAGCTTTTAGCTGTCAATTTTTAAGAAGATAAACAGCAATGCAGAGCTGCCTGTGTGCCACAATAGTGATGATTTGCTCCTGCTAAAAGTGAGGCTTCTGTGGGGAAGCTGGGCTGGACCCTTGTATGGTTCCTCTTTGTTCAAGAAGAGGCAATTTACAGCTCATGTATCTTCATTATATGCATATTCATTATAATTCCACTAAATGCTCACCCAGTTCTCGTTACTCATGCACATGGTAATTTGGTCAGATAAGGCCCTGGTGCAGGCACTGTGAATTTTGAGGAGTGGTCTCTGGAGGTTGTGGTGGTCATTTGCAGAGAAATACCCTACTCCTTTTGCCCTTCTGTGGAAATCCCTTAGTTAAGGACACTAGAATGTGTTTAGTCTTGTTTGGGCTCATTTATGACCCTGAGAGGTTCCTCAAGCTGTTTTCTTCAGCAGCTGTTTACCTATTTCTCAGGCCTTATCAACAGGAAGAAGGCCTGCACTGATTTGAGAGAAGACATCTCCTTCTCTTGTTGCATGCGTTCCTTATTTCTGCCTTCTGTACACAGTAAAATTCTAGTTTAAGAATCCTTGTAGCCTATCTAAGTCTCTATATTCAGTGAAATACTAATTTAATTTGGTATCAGTTATACAGTGAAATATTAATTTAATTCAGTGTCACCCTTAACTTGGCAAACAGCAGGGCTTCCTAAGGTGTGTGCTGGGCATGTCTGGGCATGCTTTAGTTCTCAGCCTGGCTCCAGCTGTGACCAGGGAACAGGGACAAGCTGTGTGAACTGGCAAGAAAAGGAGATGGTCTGTAAGGTGGTCTATTGAGCTGTGCAGGCACAGCAGCCACTTTTGCTTCTCTTGTGGACAATTGATGCTTGATACTGTATGCAGTGAAGTTATGGTAGCACTGAAGCAGCAAGGAGAAGCCGATTTGGGCAGGAGCATGCATGCTGTTTTGATATGGGGGTGTTTGATGTGGATTGTCTCCAAGAGGAGTATAGCTGCTCTCAACAAGCAGGATGGGCATGAGAATGAGTTTGTTGTCAGTAGCACTGGTCATTCAGCAAGCTAGAATGGGGTACAGCTCTTGCAGTGCTGAGATGCAAATAAAGGTCTGATCCAGCCATGCAGCCTTTCTACAAGGCTGTTTCTTGGGAGTGTGGGTGACCTTGGGGACAGAAGGGCTGTCCTTCCAAGAGGGCTGCTCAGAAAGCCTTGCAGTATTGCAGAAGAGGCACTTTTGCAATGCACCAGGTGGTGGGGATCCGCACAGGCTGGGATCAGTGCAATCTGGAGTACCAGGTGGCATGCTGAAGCCTGGTGCCAGCACAGACTTGCTATCGTTCTCATCATATAATTCATTGGTGATCTTGCTAATTTGAAATCCAATCTATGTTTTGTATTGGCTTAAATATGTTCTGCCAAATGAGTGGTAGTGTGAAAATCTAGCATTAATTGTTTGTCAAGACACAGTAGAAGCTACAGTCAAAAGTGAGTATGACTCACAGAAGAAGTATTTTTCACCTTTATTTCTCCTTCTCCTCCTTTCCTTGCTCACTCCATCACCCTTATCTCTGTAGAGTGATGCTTTAGGTAAGCACTAGGACTTTGGCCTTGAGAACTGTGCAAAGGTACTGTTTCAGGTGCTAGAGCTGCTGAAATACTCTTGAGTAGCAGATGACAGGTTTGTGTATCACCACTGCATTTCTGGTGCTCTGTATCTTTTCCTGGGTGTATGTAGTGGCATTTTGCAGCAGGGACAGGTTCAGCAACCTTTTGATGGGTCATCAGCATGTGGTTTATTCTCACTTCTTACACAGTTGTGAAGGAAAAGCTGCTGGCACAGTTTGCAGGTAAGACTGCACTGCAGATTAATCTGATGTGATAGGACTGCTGCAGTCTGGACGGATGAATGTATGGCAGTCTCTAAAGCAGGGTGACTTCTCAAGTCTGGCTTGCGATATGGCAAAACAAGGTGAGATATTTTTGAGTATTTAGTTTAAATAGGTGGAGTATTTTGCCTTCTCCTTGCTACAGCATTTTGTATGTATTTTTTTGGAAAATAACTAGCTTTAAAAATGTGGGTGTATCTGTGGCAGAAGTAGTGCTGAATAGAAACAGTGTGAAGCAAACAGTGGTGTTTGCAAGCTGTCGGAGATGCTTGCCTCCTTATTGATCTTCTGGGTTAGCAGAATGTGACAACCTATAGCAACAGAAGTGAACAAGCATCGAAGACTATAAAGGGTCTGATTAAAAATGTATTAAGTTGAACTCTGAAGCCTCAGAAGGATATTTGTGTTGTGATTTTTTTTTTTTTTTTTTTTTCTTCTTAGCAGTGTTTCTAAATAATCTGGGGTGAATTAGGGCCCTACAATTGGAAATTTAATTTGGGGTCATCTTTAAATGAACTCTAAAAGCATTAAACTCTGTTTGGCCATGATTTCTGCTTTGGGCCTCAGCCCAACATGTCATCTCCAAATCAATTCCAGGGTCCCTTTCCAGGCTAAGCTACTATTGATTATTTCTCTTCCTTTTAACAAAAAGTCATCTCTATGGTGATCACATTATATATCTTCTTCAGGAAATCAGTAAAGTCCTTTTGAGACTGAAGGAAGCTGCCGCATGAGGAAGTGCTGCGTCTTGTGTTTGGCATCAGTGCAGCAACCAGCATGTGTGCCCACGTTCACAGGTGTCCTCCCGGCAAGGCCACATCTTGGGTTTACAAGGCTGCAACTGCTTGGAAGTCATGCAAAAGGGAGCATGTATCTTGGGCATGTGCCCTTCCTGGTCTTGAGTTTTGGAGACAGGCTGGATTACTTCTTGATGCACTTTGGAAGCGAGTACAGTCCTGGAGAAAGGGCACTGCAGTTCAAGTGGGTTTTGCTTCTGATGGTGCGTATCAGAGGCACTGGGGTGTGTTGTCACCTGTGTAGTGACAGGCTGTGACATACACACAGGAGGTCTCATTCTTGGCCTAGCTGTGGTTGTTCCTCTGTTCTGTTTTGACAGAAGTCTCGTTTGACTCATTTGCAAGTGGTTTTGTCAGCAGGAGTAAATGTGAGATGACAAAGAGCATTTTAATACTATGCTGAAGGTAGTAGTGCGCATAAAGTATTCCCTTTTGACAACTGCCATTCGTACTAAAAAACGTCCATACAAAGGAACACACAGTCACAGTGTTTTGTTGGTTTTTAATCACATTTAAGCCTGTCTTACTCAAGTCATAGTTTTGTGCTTGGATCATATCTTAAGTTGTTGTTGAATAGAATTAATTTATTTCCACTAAAAACTGGGTCCTACACATGCTGTTTTAACGACATTAAGGTCATTAAACTGGTGCTACCATGCATGCAGGTGATCTCAAAGTTTCTTCTAAAGGACTGAAATTTAGCAAGCACGTTGCATCATGGCATAATGGCATGTGGATTACACTGCCAATAATGCTTTCTCTCCAATAAGCTAAAAGAATATAAGGCAGATGATACTAGTGCGGCAATTTTTCCATCAGTGTCTTGATACAATGTTTCGAGACTATGCTGTGGTGCCTTGATAAGGTTGGAAGTTTAAAGGTGTTTGTGTAGTATGAGTTTTTATAGGATTAATTAAAACTTATAAAGCAACAGCTTCTTTTTTTTTTTTTTTTTTCCCCAGGCAAAAAGTGCTACTTTTTACTGTAAATTCTCATGGAAGTCCAGTGGAAAATAAGGGACTGATATGAATATAGTTTGAGGTGTATGAAATTATAATAAATCCCTTAAAATAAAGGCCAGGTGGCAATACAAGACAGAGCAATGTTGCCCTGTGTGCTACTAACTTAGTTAGTGTAGTTACCAATAATTACCACATCCTTAAATGACCATATTGTATTCAGTAGTGTCAGTAAGGTCAATTCACAGTCATAGGATGAAAGGAGACACTCCAGTAGCTCTTAATGTGCGTCAAAATGAGAAGATTGATATTGACAAGGTGACCTTAGCTCTGAAGGGGCAGTTTGTTTTGAATGCCTGTAGTTTTTCTTGCTTATGATTGATAACCTCAATGGTATGAATATTTTCTTTCTTTCATTCTGTTTTTGTGTGCTTATTGTTTTTTACCCCTCACTCCCTAAAAGAGCACCACATTTCATGCTAGGTATTTCAAGTAACACAGCAGTAGTACAAGTAAGTAAAGACTAGTACGGTTTTCTGTAGAAAGTTGCTGCACCCCAGTGCCCAATGTCCCCCAAGTGCCCTTTGATCGTTCTCTGAATGACCCCAGCTCTGTGTTAATGTCTGGCATGCAGTTCCGCAATTAAAATGTGTAGCCTGACATCAGTTCCGAATTTGTCTTTCCTTCAATTTTTCATGTCCACCCAATTCATTCTTTTGTCCTCTTAACCCTCTCTGTGTGAGATAACTGTCTTGTATTCTTCAGTGGCTACGAGCGAAAAGTTCACATGTAATTTCCTTTTTGTGTCTCGTATTTCTCTTTTTCTACATTCAGTTTTGTGCTGAAAAGCATTTGGGTTAATAATTTGTAAAATTTGGAACCATCCACACTCTTCTACTCCATAACTTTTTTTTTTTTTCCTCCTAAGTGAACTGATTGGAATGATATGTATTGAAAAACTTTGGAGGAGGAACTGTATAGTGGTTGGTTTTGTCTGAAGAATACCTGGGTGCATGCAG